TCGGATTTGAAATTAAAAAAACAACTCCTTATTTAGGGGCGAATGAAAAGATTCACCAGAATCCAAAATCCAAGATTCAACATAACTATCCAAGAATTATAACATTTATAGAATGGTTATCCTCCTCTAATTTGTGATTCTGTTTCCTCTTTGGTCTTGTACAATCTGTTCGACCTTTTTCTCCACAATTCCAACATGTTATGTTTGGTTTGTTTGGAATATTTTTTTTTTTTTGTAAGCTTTTTGGTTTTGATTCGCCTTTGTTTGGGCAATCTAATTTACTTCTTCCCATTGGATCAACACTGAGAGCATTGCATGATGAATCCATAATATCTCGTTTCCGAATACTTTCGCTAAGAACTACATTGCGAATTTCATCGAACTTCAGTTTTTTTCAAATTCTCAAAAACTGCTAATTATAACAATAACAATATTACACGACTCGGGTAAAAATGACATCAAAATCAATGCTTTAATTTTATCTTCAAAATTAATGCTCACCAAACTTAGTTGACTTATAATCATATTGAATTCATTTATATGATCTGCAACAGATCCACCTTCAGACATTAGAAAAATGAAAAATCTTCGCATCAAATACACCATGTTTATAGCCGACGATTTTTCATACACATTTGACAGCGCCTTCAACAGATTTGGCATTGTTTTCTCCTTGATGATGTTGAATGCCACATTTCTTGACAACATCAACTGGATACCGTGCATCATTCTTAATACAATTACACGGTTAATTTTAGATACACGGTTAATTTTAGATGAAAACGGTTAGTACTCTTTTTTAAAAAATGTTCTTAAAAGTGATGCTATGATACCGTGCATCATTCTTAATACAATTAGAGCATCATAACATGGTATTTAAAGCATCATTCTTAATATTAACATGGTATCCGAACTTCTCATTCTTAACATTTAAAAAATTTTATTAATACCTTTAAACTTTTTTTAAACTATTCAAAAATATTTTTACCGTTAATACTATATTTAAAAAAAATCGATAAAATTTTAATAGTAGCATTAACCCCATTTTAACTTTAGTAAAAAATTCAAAAACAAATTTACCATCAATATGTGGATGTAAAACATTTATATCATAGATTATTTACATACATTTTAACGTTACTCTAGAAAGTTTATGAATATTTTTAAAACATTGTACTAACCGTAAAAATACTAACACTAAAAGTATTTTCAACTTATATTAAAAGTTTACAATATTATTGTAATTTTTAATCCTTAAAATTACTAACCTTGGCTCTTTGAAAAACATGTGGATGGTTTGTAAGAAACAAAACAGCCCACATTGCTGTAATAGATGAAGTTTCATGGCCTGCAAATAAGTTACCAAATATCAAATCTATAATGGTTTCATCATCCAACTCTTCACCATCTTCATCTTTCACGTCCATAAGCAGATCCATCATGTCTTTGGCTTCCCAACTTTTTCCTTGCATGTTCTTCGCCAATCTCTTTTGGTTGATGATGGATTGAAGTATGTTGAGCAACTTCTTTCTAGCCTATATAAGAAAAGAAAAGGAATCAATTGTTCTAAGCTATAATTTACACGAACATTTATCAATTCAATTAGCGTTTTTAACGAATTCTCTGTCAATTCTAAAAGTTAATGTGTTGGGTTATGATAAATTTAAGTTAAACTACAAAAATACCTTTGAAGTTAAAAGCATACTCACATTTAAAAAGTTGCAATATTATTCTTGATTTTTTTTTCTGTAATAAATTAGAATCTTGGATGAAAATTGGGACTTGGAATGAGTGTGGTGTTGATATGGAAAGGTATGACAATGACTTAGGTAGTTTTGACCACCTATATAACGGATAACAGTCTAACAAATTTCTAACCAGGTAAGTTTTGAAAGGTATGCCAAATTTTGTTCCGCCCCCTTTATATATTATTTATGTTTGAAATATTATGTCCTAATATTGAAATTTGAGTTTCTAAATATTATATTGAACATTATATTATATTTTTTTTCATGAAATATTAGTAAATTTATTAGGATGACTTAATCAATATTTTTAGTATAAAAGACCTGAAAAAAATCTTTTGAGAAATTAGATCCTTAAAAAAATAAATGAAGAATTTCACGGAGATGAAAAATTGAAATAGGAGGCAGGGACGAAGATTAGGAATGCATCTCTACCCTATGGCCCATGGGCATTTCTACACAAGACTTCGTATTTTGATACCAAGTTAAATTATTATTGTGTAATGGCCCAAACCCACTAACAAATATTGTCCTCTTTCACTTTTCTTCTCGGACTTCTCTAAGTTTTTTAAGACACATATGTTATAGAGAGGTTTCTATATCCTTATAAAAAATGTTTCGTTGTCCTCTCCAATAGATATGGGGCTCAATTATTGACTAGTAAAGATAAAAGGCAAAACCGCAAACCCGCAAAACGAGAAGATAGGGAGTTACCTTGAGTGATTTGTGGAAGTTGAAGCCAGGAAAGTTGATGGGTAAAGATATAAGTCTTTTTTACACTAAAAACTGATTCTAGAGATCATCCACATTTTTAAATTACCACAAAAATAATGTTTGGTGGGGCGTGTTAAGGATATTTAGGCTTGAATTACGGTTTACCATATATATTCTATTTGACCGTTTATTATAGGCAAATATCTTACATTATGGCTTATGTATTTGGCTTTTTTATGGTATCCATTTATTATTATTTTCTCTTATTGTTCTTTCCATATGGTTTGTAATTTACCCTAATTCTCTATTTTTGTAAATGATTATAAATATAGGTGTGGTGGTTTAGTCTAATGGTATCAGAGCCCTTTGGTTTAACACATAATATGTACTTCTCATTTCAGAGTTGTTGACATCTTCACAAAAAGTGTTTCTCGACCTCTCTTTGCATTTTTTAGATCCAAATTTCACATTCTTTCAAATTCGATGCTCAGCTTGAAAGGGAGGTGTTAAGGATATTTATCTTTGAATTACGATTTACCATATGTATCATATTTGACCGTTTATTATAGGCAAATATCTTACCTCACTACTTACATATTTTCTTTTTTATTAAAGGTAAATATCTTGTATCCATTTATTATTCTTTCATTTTATCATTTTTTCCATATCATTTATAATTTACCATAATTATCTATTCGGTAAATGATTATAAATAAATTATAAATAGAAAACCTTCCCCACCATTTAGATGTGGTGATATGAGTAAATATTTTCAGGGTGGGATAAGGACGGAGATTATAATCTCTATCCCCTCAGTCTCATTTAGCTAACACCAAAAATTTTCTTCTCACTGGAATTTTAAACTTTATTCAGAATGGTTTCTTGCCAATTAAATGAATATCTCTATTAACAAGGAGCTTACCTTATTGATACTTCTCGTGGGAAATAATTCTGCGGCTAATACCTTTGCTTTTGATCCCTTGCCTTATCGATACAATTTTGTATTGCCCCTTGGTGTTGAATCTCTCATCCTAGTGGTATTAAATTAAAGAAGCTCGTTTTCTTAAGAGAAAAGCTAATCAATAATATTTTTTTATTGGCAACAAATAAATAAATCTTAGGCATAGCGATATGAATTGAATTGTGAGTTGTAATAGATTTTATTTATTCAAAAACAGTTAAGGGATCGTTTTCTTCCTATATTTCTAGCTTTCAGCAATATATATATTGAATAAAGAAAAAAGAGTGTCAACGATAATGTTGGTAAAGAGGTAGGTGCGAGGGCTATTCGTTAGGCTTGGAATGAAGAAAGTTCAATGAATAATTTTAAATTCTCTTTAGTTTCAATGCGAAGAAATTATTTTTAATTGCTTACTTTCGTTGGAATGAAAAAGATTTAAAATTTTTGTGATTAAGATTTCTATGCCTTTGTTTATTTCATGTCATTTTCCTTAATTAAATTTAAGTTTTTCCCATTTTGTCTTTTGTGATAATTTTGCCAAATGTTTTGTAAATTTTTTTAATTCAAACAATCTTTATTAAATAATGAAATAGACTCAATTCAACCATAAAATATCAAGATTAGATTGGCTAGGATGGATTAGGTCATTTATTCAAATTTTTATTTTTCATAAGATCAAAATATTATAGAGGAACAAGTAATCTCTGCAATTGTATGATATTATCCACTCTACATATAAGTTCTAATGACTTCACTTTTGGTTTTTCCAAAAGATCTCATACCAATTGAAATAATATCCCTTAGTATACCCATGATATTCCTCTTCTCTGAGTCAACGTGAGATTCCAACAATTCTGAATAACTTAGATTTTTTTTTCTGTCAAGAAAAAGGGAGAATCTGAGAAAAATTGATTTACTTGAAGACTTCTCAACTTCTTATTGTAGAAAAGGAATCCAGGAAGCAAATAATGCAGATGATGGTGAGGTCGATAGTATAAAGTTCTCCACCACTTTCAATTTTCCAATTCGATCCGGTTCATTCATTCGATGAGCTATTTACTCGATCCGATTCATTTGTTCACATAGAGACAAATAATCAATTTTGAAAGAAGTTATTGTCAACATCTTTCATATATGAATCAATTTGATTCAAAGGGGAGGAACTTGCATCAGTACCTCAGTTTCAATTCAAATATGAATTAGATTCACACTCCATGTCCGGAGAAATATTTACCATCTGAAAAGAAAAAAAATTAGGTGAAAATGTCTAAGTTGAGAATGTTTTTAAGACTCTAAACAGTGATGTGAGGGATGAGTATGGAGAAGAACTTCTTCTAAATAAGTTGAAGGTCGATGTGTTATAAAACGGAATTCATGAAGTTGATATGTATTGTTAAAACTAGAATATACTAGAATATGAAAACAATAAACATCACGACATGAGGTCCAAAGGACATAAAATGTTCATAGATGAAGGAAATGTAGCAAAAATATCTAGTTTGTACCTTGAAAAGTTTTGAACAAAATTAAATTCTTTCATGATTATAGTAATAACAAAGTATTAATTATTAAATTTTGATGAGTACATAAGTACACACATACACACAAACATATACCATATTTCAAAAGCTGAATACAATCATAAAGTTCATTTGTTGGGATAAATAAGATTGAGAAGCACTATACGTTGTCATGCAGTTTTCAGCACTCTTGCCAAGCATTTGTCTTTGGGATAAGGAATTGGTAGATAAGTCAATTGGCATTGTGGATTATAACGCTCGATCCTACATTCATGAAACACGTATATATTAACGATATATAGTGAAAAAATTAGGGTATGTTCGATATTATTCCTATTTTATGAACTCTGTACTTAATAATCATTTGGTTACTAGTTCTTGTTTTTCATTTTTTCAAAACACTTTTTTCTATTTTAAACGGAATGAGGAACATAAAAACGTCACCGAACAAGTCCTTAAAAGCTTATATTTATTTGTGTTAAGAGTTTATAGAAGAAAAGTTTGAGCAAACTCACTTGTAATTGAGGAGAAAATGGTGAAGGAAAATTGAGATCTCGAGCTTGGCAAGATCACGTCTAGGGCACATCCTGACTCCTAATCCGAACGGGGTAAAAGCACCTGGGTTGCCTATAAAATTCTGTTCAACATAAATAATCAAATAGTAAGAAACAACATTAAAGGTTATAAATAGTTTAACAACGGGAGAGAAAAATACATTTTTCGTCCCCGAATTTTGAGTATAGTTTCCATTTAATTTATACGTTTCAAAATGTTACATTTTTATCCTTCAATTTTGAGTTTAGTTTCAATTTTTCTCATTAAATTTTAAAATATTACATCTTTACCCTAGAATTATGAGTCTAGTTTTCATTTGGTTATAAGATTTGAGATCTTACACTTTTATTCATGACTTTTCAGAATTTTGAGCTAGGTTCACTTTAACCATCCACATCATAACTATTTTAAACTACTTAACCAAAAGTCAAAGACTTGACATAAAAATGAGCATTATTTACCGATATGAGTAAAAGTGTAAAAATGCAACATTTTGAAATTGAAGGATGAAATAGAAATTGTATTTAAAACTTAGTATGAGATCCCACATTGGTTGAAGAGGGAACGAAACATTTCTTATAACAGTGTGGAAATCTCTCTCTAGCAGAAACATTTTAAAATTGTGACGCTGACACCGATACATAACAAGTCAAAGAAGACAATATCTAAGAAGGATGGACGTGATCTCTTATACTTAAAGACTAAAATGATATTCTTTCTTCTTTCCATTAGTTTAGGCCTATATTTATTGCATGTAGACAATGATTTTAAGTAACAAAAATAATAAAGGACAGCAAATATGGAAAGTGATTGCGTACATCCCATCTTGATGGATTGAAGTCTTGTGGGGAAGGATGTAGCTCTTCATCCATGTAAAGCTCTCGAAGCCAAAGTATGACTTTCCATCCTTTTGGTATAAGCTTACCTAAAACATGATTAAGATCCATGAAAGATCATAATTTAAAGAGAGCCTTCTTTGTTGATGACTAACCATTGATATTAACGTCAGTTGTTGCCTCACGAAAAGTAGCAAATATAATACCACTAAGACGAAGCGTCTCATCTATCACCTGGATATTACAATATCTTAGATATACAGTTTATTTAAACATCGTAACTAAAATTGAAGAAAAAATTTACCTGAGAAAGAAATTTCATTTGTTTAAATTCAGCGAGATTTATACCCTTTTGTGTTGAAGGTCTTCGACTAATGATATCTTCTTGTTCTTCCTAAAACAAATTAATCTTAAAAATTACTATCAAAATGATAAAATTCGGAGGAATGAACATGATATTAGAAAGAAGTATATGACAATATTGTTGTAATATCTTAAATTTCACTTGGCTTTTTGAAGGGATTAAGATTTATATGAACATAAATCTACATACACGAGCCAATTCTAGCCTTTCTTATTTGTTTCTTGTTCTAAAACTTGTAGCTTAATTAACTTTTTGAAACAAAAATAGAAAATAAAATCCAAGTTCATTGCAACAAAAGACCTCACAAATCAGATTAGGATTCATAAGTTAACTAATGACCCCAATATTTAGTTGTATTTCGTAGGACATTATCACATTCCCTAATTGTCGTGAAATTTTTTAGCAAGTTTTTCCTCAATCATATGTTGATAGGAAAATTTTCAAGAGGTTAGTGTTAAGATATATCACTAGCTGAATATGGTCAAGTCCAAAAATTGTATTAACCCATTGTATATGGAAATAATCTAGTATTTCAGAACAAAGATATCCAGATATTTTAGGAAAATAATTTAGACTCCATATTCATATCTAAGCATTTTATGAATAAATATTTAGATATTTAAGAAATAAATTGTATAGCATCTATTATCAATACCTTCCAACCTAGTAAGTTTTTATCCAAAAAAATCTCAAGCAATTTCAAGCACGACAGAGTTCGGTCGTTTCTACATATTGTCTCTTGTAATCTTTTCTTAATTGGTATTTAAGTCGTTTCAACATATGATCTCGTGTAATCTTTTCTTAATTGGTATTTCTTAATTGATTTTAATAAAGAGGGAAAGTGTTACCCAGAAGAATTTCAAAATTACATGTGTTTTTATGTTTTTATGCCCTTATTAATTATTATATTTTTAAAATCACTCTCATTTAGATATGAACTCATATATTCATATACCATTTTTTTACTTGAACATCATTTTGGATAAACAAGTAGATTTCTTAACGTTAGACTACACAACTCTAACATACGAGCCAAATATTCTTATTTCAAACCACAAACGCATTCAAGAGAAAATTAATATGCAATAACTTAGATAAATAAAGATATCATACGATTGAGACAAATGAATGCAATTAACAAGTTAGAAAATTAAAGAACTCTAACCTTGGCCTTTTGGAACAGATGTGGATGATCTGTAAGAAATATAATTGCCCACATTGTAGTGAAAGCTGAAGTCTCCTGGCCTGCAAATAACTTACCAAAAATCAAATCTGCAATGGTCTCATTGTCCATCCCTTCTCCATCTTCATCTTCCACTTCTATCATCAAATCCATCATATCTTGTGCTTCCCAACTTTCCCCTTTGCTTTTCTTCATCAACCTCTTCTCATTCACAATAGATAGAAGTATTTCATACAATCTTTTTCGAGCCTGTATTCATACATTTATTTTTGTGTGAGATCCCACGTTGGTTGGAGCGGGGAACAAAGCATTTCTTATATGGATGTGAAAACTTCTCCCTAACAGATGCAATTTAAAACCGTGAGGTTGACGGTGATACGTAACAGACCAAAGCGGACAATATTTGCTCGTGGTGGGCTTGGACAGTTAGAAATGGTATTAGAGTTAGACACCGGGTGGTGAGTCAGCGAAAATGCTAGGCTCCAAGGGGGTGGATTGTGAAATCTCACATTAGTTGGAGAGGGGAGCAAAACATTCCTTATATGGGTGTGAAAACCTCTCCCTAGCATACACATTTTAATACTATGAGGTTTACGGCGATTCGTAACGGGCCAAAGTGGACAATATCTACTAGCGGTAGACTTGGGCTATTACAAATGATGTCAGAACCACACACCAACCGGTGTGCAAGTGAGGACACTGGGCTGCAAAGGGAATAGATTGTGAGATCCCACATCCGTTGGAGAGGGGAAAAAAACATTCTTTATAAGAGTGTGAAAATCTCTTCCTAATAATAGACGTGCTTTAAAATCGTGAGGCTGACGGGTTGCATGATAAAAGATTTGCTTAAAAAATACTGAAATTTTTTCAAAAGTTGCCATTCATAAACAGATCACCTAAACATCATAGGTTTGAAAGTATTTTTGAGTTGGGACATATACGATTGAGATTTAAATCTATAACCTTTCCGCAGATTGTATAATGTTTTAGCTTATTGAACAGCGTTCTAATTGTTAAACAACACTCTTCATCTAATATACATACTTAGAAGGAAAAAGTTCTTACCTTGAGAGATTTATGGAAGTAGAAGCCAGGAAAGTTGATGGGCAAAGAGAAGAACCCAAGTGAAATATCATTATACAAAGCCTCCATTTCTTTTGTGGTATAGTCTATGGAAGTTGAACCCATAAAAATGTTCCAAATAATTTTGAAGGTAAGCTCCTTTATCTCTGTCAACAGCTTCAATGGCTTCTCCACACTTGACCATTCCTCCAACCCACTGATCACTGTGTGTTCAATATGATCGACGTACATCTCGAGCGCAGCGTGGCTACTGATCGGCGCCGTTGTCACCCGTCGGAGCTTCCGGTGCTCCGCCTTTGAGGCTCGGTGCAGCGTATTTCTACCAAATAACGTTTGCATGCTGGCGGGATAACCAGGAACAAATATGGTTTCATCGCTTAGTACTTGGCGACAGATTTCAGGCTTGCAGACAAGTATGCTTGCCCTCCCAAAAATGTGTGTCTTGTACATGTCAACTTTCCCATACCTACCTCAATAAACATTAACAAGAAAAAAAACGGTCATTAACCGTTTGGTTCCTAAACTTCGTATCAAGCTTTTGTAGTTTCAAAATTATAATGAAATCAATTTGTCCCGATTCAATTTTGTGTTTGATAGGTTTAATTTACATAAATATGTATTATATGTCCATCAAAACAGCTAGAGTTTGATTTTGTTTCTATTATACTTGAGTGTATGGTTGGTTATTTTATAGATTAGATATCCAAATAACATAATGTTTAAAGTCAATTCTCTTTCTAACGCCTCAATAATTTGTAACTATAAAACGAAGACATGCTTGGATTGGTCCCTCTCCTATTAAATTTATGTGCACGGTTATCCTCGTAAGTTCAAACGCTCCACTTTAAAAAATAATAATAATAATAATAATAATGTTTGAAGTCAACCCTTTCCAACACTTCATTTGTTTATAACTACAAAATCAATAACTTGATTGGATTGACTTTTAAGTCCATAATAAAAATTTGCAAACCAAAATTTTTTCTTTAAGAATTTAGAAAGTAATTCCAAACCAACAACCAACAACCAACGGTATCAATAATTCTTAGAAAATTAGAATGACAAAAAATTTCTTTGAATTATAATCAAATAGACATGAACGAGAGTATATATCTTACCGAAAAGATTTAAAAGGAGTTTTCAAATAACTCACGAGAGGGAGAAAGACCTGGTGGTAAAGGCACGGATAAAGCTTTCGGGTGGACCAACGGTGAAAGATTTGAGGAAGGATAAAGTAGAGCCAAGAAGTGGCCAACAGAGATCACCAGGAGGGAGCTCACCCCATTTCTTCCCCAACTTCACAGCATAATACAAACCATTCAATCTCTTCAAAACCTCAAAAACTAAAACAAAGCCCACAGGGAGAATCAAGAAAACCCCATTTATGAACTCCATTGATTTCTGCAGCTAACACCTTTGCTTTGGATCCCTTTCCTTAAGAACACACTTTTGTATTGCCCCTTGGTGTTGAATCTCTCATCCTAGTTGCATTAAATTAATTAAGCTCCTCACTTCCCTTAAAAAATAAACCCTAATCAATGATATTTTTTTGATTGGCAACCAGCAATTCAAACTTCTTGGATAGTGATATGTGTTGAATTGTGAGTTCATAATTGATTTTCCATAGAAAAAAACAAACGAAGGGTCGTTTTCTTCCTATATTTCTAGCATTCACCAACATATATATTCAATAAAATGACATTGGCCAATGTCAGTAAATATTTATTTATTTATCTTCTAGAACTATTTGAGTCAAAACGGGACCTATCTCAACGTAGAGGACCAGCTCTAGCCATTGATATAATTACTATGCTTACCAACTCTGATCATTGTTGAGACACGGTCAATTTGAAGTGTGAGGCATACCGAAGCAAAGGAGATAAGAAAAAGATGGGAAACTTTGACCCACTTTCCCTCCCACCTCGATTCTAGTTCAAAAAGGGATGAACCTAAAAGAAAAGATAGACCGAGCAAAAGAAAAAAATTGCTTAGTTGAATTAAAATTTGTAACTCGATTTCAATATATACTTTGAAAACATTTACTTACAACACTTAACATAGTTTTTGACTCTCAAGTATCATATTCCCTTCTCTTGCAACATCCACAGTTATCTATTATCAAATAAGTTTGTACTTTATTTAGTTTTTTTTTTTTTTTTTTTTTTTTTTTTTTTTTTTTTTTTTTTTTTTTTTTTTTGGTCCTTCCATTTTGTTTATCTCTAAACTTTGTAGTTTTCTTTACCGGAAAAGAAAAAAAAAAAGTGTAGTAATGTATAAAAAAAAAATTATTTGTTACAAGTTTAACTTTGTGATGAATGTAATTGTTGGATGACATGTGATATAGATCTTAATATTGACCATTTATTTTTATGAGGTGCAAGGGTAAAGTCTCTTCCGACTTCCAATTGATGTCTACTCGCCTAGAATAAGAGATAATAAAAAGTTTATACCGTTTGAATTCAAGTCCCATTAACTTTATGAAGGACCCGATGCTCTCATTGATACATCGCCTGATGTCTGGTTCTGATACTATTTGTATACAATCAACTACCTAGTGGGCCCAACGTCCTCACTAGTACACCGCTTGGTGTCTGACTCTAATACCATTTATTTACAATCTAGCCCCTTAAGAAGCCCAACATTCTCACCGACACACTTTCTGGTATTTGGTTCGTATACCATTTGTAGCAGCCTAAAGTCTACCTCTAGTAGATATTATCATTTTTAGACTTTCCCCTTATAACAGCCTAAAGCCCACCTCTATTAGATATTGTTGTTTTTGGACGTTTTTGGACTTTTCCCTCAAGGTTTAAAAATGTCTTCTAAATAAGTTTCCAGACCCTTAAATTTTAAATCTCAAGATTGATATGCACTATTGACATTGTTATAACTAGGATATTTAATTTGTTAATTTGTTTTTATCATAAAACATCTCTTTAGTTTCTATGATATTGATTTTAATTACAAGATAAACAAGTAGGTTTTTTCGATTTTGTTTTTTATTTTCTTTACTTGTATACTCGGGTGATCGTTTTCATAACTAACCAATTTGGGACTCCAATAATCCTCTCCTCGTACAAAACCCACAATTCAGTCTCTTCTTAAATAGTCATTTATTGGTCTAAAATTATCTAGACGACTTCTCTTCTCTAGAGAATATTGTTAGTCCAATAAAACTCTATCACATATCTATATTATGACTAAATGTTCGAGGTTTACAATTTTTTTTATTTTTATTTTTTTTGTTTGAACCCCATTGGAAGCCCAAAACAATAAAGGCCAAATTCCATTAATTGGCCCAACTTTTTCCAACTTGAGAGGCCATTTATAGGCGTCGTGACGCTCCAAATAGTGTCTCAACGCTTGCCTCTTTAGAATTTAGATAGCAAATTATGCTTCTAATTCGTTGTATTTGGTGTTTATATTCACAAATATGGTTTGAAATAGCCTTAAACGCGTCATTGAAAATGCAAACATAAGCATATAATTGGTTAGACGTATATATATAGCTTAGGTTAGAATTTCTACTTGGATATGGAATCCGGATTCGACATATGATGGCTCCGATGTTTCTCTATATCTCAACAACATAGTCAGGTTATTTATTTATTTTATGCTTCTACGAGTGAAAATTACTCCAACAAACCAATTCATGTTCTTTTAACATGTTTTGTCCTCATTGACATAGTTTCTCAAGAAACTCTCGGGAGGTAACCTAATATAAGATTGTTTTAAGCCAAACACGTTTAAGTTTGGAGTTTTTATGTTTGAGCCACCAAAAAGAAATGTACACTTTATTAGAATAGGTAGTGACTATCAAGTTTGGTAAGGTGATCAAGTGTTAGTAAGAGAGCCCATATTGTAAAGTGATCGTATTGCCGAAAATGTTGAGGTCATCAATTGTTAAATATGGATTTCAAATCCTAATATGAATCCTAGGCATTAGAAGTTATAGATGGTATTAGAGTCGAATCTCTCTCAGGAAGCTAGTGGGCATGTGAGGCTTGATCAAAAGAACGATAAATAAATGAACCAAAACTGCATTTAAATTATAAGAGTGATTCTACCCATATAAAATTATTGTTAAGAAATAATTACAATAATTAATAGTTACTATCTATACCAACAAACCATTCGTTCTTTTTCAATAGTTCAACTAAAAAAACTCCAAAATGAAGCGTGACTCTCTATTGGATCTAGGAAACAACTCTCAGAGATCATTTTTTCTTTTGGAAGATACATGAGCGAAACAATCAACCTATTGATATGGGAAGAGCCAAAAAGATTCTTCCCATGTATCATTTATGGGTCCAATGAAATTCATAGGTATAAGAAGAAACCCTGTTAAATAGAGATTATTTTCTTTCGATCGATCATCTTTCGATTGTTAATACGATATATAAAGACCACTACTACAAATAGTACTACACCCTTGATCGTGAAATATCGATTGCTTGTTGAACCTTGTGAATTGATGTGATGAAGACAGAGCATCTTAAAAGAACTCATGTTAGTAATGTGATCATGTTGCAAGGGAATGTCGAAGTCATCGAATCCAAATTCTAAATCTCATTGTCAATCTTGAACGTCATCCTTTGTCATAAGATTTTCTTGGTTAATAACGTGACTTTGAAAGGACTAATGATGGTATAGGAGTATACAGGGCAAACACATTATCACTTAATTCAAATAATTTAGTGTAGGGTTCATTATTTAATAATTTATGGTAGGGTTGATTATGAACGAGAGTTATTTGTATGGAAAATTTTACAACTTGAACAATTGAATTAGATTTAAAAAACGTTTCAATTCAACCCTATCCAACCCAAAAAAAAATCCCTAAGAGTATACTCATCGTGATAGTAGTTTATGTCACAAGTATCCGAACCTATATCGTTAATACCTCACTATATAATAAAATAAAATAAAGAAAACTAGGTCCTTCCACTACTTTTGATGCATCATTCATGATTCAACTTAGAGCAAGCATCCGTCTTTTTCTATGTTTTTTAATCCAATGGTAAGGAATTTGTAACCAAATACCATTTATATTATGCTTTGAATGCTTTGTCACAATCATATAATAAAATTTTCTTCGATTAAAGATTTGATATTGATATATGGGTAGCCAATATTTCTTCTCGAAATTTCATATAATAATGTCAAAAACTATGGACAAACATAGTAGTTTTAGTTTTGTAACTTAATTGAGAATAATGAGTATGTTGATTTCAATGAAAGAATTTTTTCTTTTAACTCTTCAACTTATGTAAACATCAAATTTCATTCAAATCAATATTCTAACTCTCTATTACATTTTCGATTTGATATAATATTTAGGTTATTCTTAATGTTCATTTAAATTTAAAGATGATAAAAGATCGTGTGAAAATGTAGATAGAAATAGTAGATATTATTCGCTTTGGCCCGTTACGTATAGTCGTAAGCCTCACAGTTTTAAAACGCGTCTATTAGAAAGGTTTCCACACCCTTATAACCTCCAACTCATGTAGGATCTCACAATCTGCTCCCTTGGAAGCCCAGCATCCTTACTAACACATTGCCTAGCGTCTGGCTCTGATATTATTTGTAACAACCTAATTCCACTGTTAGCAGATGTCTGTTTTAGCTCATTACGTTTTGTCATCAGTCTCACAGTTTTAAAACGAGTCTAATAGGGAGAGGTTTTCACACTCGTGTAAGGAATGTTTTGTTCCCCTTTCCTACCGATATGGGATCTTAGAAAAATAAAAAAGATTTTCACATAAAATGTGTACACATATTTTTGTCGGTATAGTCTTAAAAATACACGATGGAGCATATATTATGGAAAAAAGATATGAAGATAGAGAAAAGGCATATAGTCAAGAGTACCAATCATCTCTTGCAAACAAAGTAGGGTCATAAATTGTGGAATGACCTAATTGAAAAGAAATATATATATATCCCAATGGGGACAAGCATGTATGATGCTTGTTTCCTCCAACTAGGAGGAATAGAAAGGTCTATGTCTACCATAACAAAAGTTTCATCATTCATCATTGTACTTTATTTTATTTTTTTTATAAGAAGCTAAAAATCAAGATCTTTATTTGTTTATTTATTTATTTATTTATATAGTACGTGATTGAATTTTCAATTTCGTAACAAATAATTTTTTTATTGACATAATCACAATTTTCAAAATAAATTGATATATTATATATGAATTTGAAAATGATCTGACATTTTCAATTTTGTATTTAATAAATTTGTGAATTTTAAAAAATATTGACTCGATTGATAGGGGTGTTTGTGGGCTAGATTGGGTCGGGTAAAGACATTTTGTAGAACCATCTTAATTGTTTGAGTGGTAAATTTTTCAACACAAACAACTCTTATTAAATAATAAACCCAATACAACCCAACTATAAATTTTTTTTAGTT